AAAAAAAAAATTAAATTTGTTTGAAATAAAATATATAGATAACCATACAAATATTTTTTATACATATTTTAAATATTATGCATTTAATAAATTTTGTACAGTATATTGTACTTTTCTATTAATTAATTAATTAATAAAAAACAAAAAAAAAAAAAACAATTCAATATATATTCTAAAATATATTTGTTTTTTTTTTTTATATTTTTGTCATATCATATTTATATATGTTATTATTATTATTTATTTATTTTTGTTTTAACTTTTTTTTAATATTTTAATTAAGATATTCATTTAATTTATTTATTATTTTTTTTTTTTTTAATATATATTTCCGTATAATTATTTGACTGCCTTGCTCCACCGTGCAGTATCTTGGTAAACCCTGCAGCAAGGCTTAGGGTGTGTGTGCGTATACACGTGCTTGCTGTTGTGTGTGTCTGTGTGTGTGTGTGTCTGCATAAGCATCGTGACGCGTTTGTTAGGTGGGTGCGTGCAGTTGAAATGGCATCCCAGGGGGCTAGCTATGGGGCAAGCAACCGTTTCGTTAACTTTACACCGCAGCAGGGTCCCAGCGACGCGTTGTGATTTACTTGGAGCAGAGAAAATTTCCATTCGTTGTAGAGCCGACGATGGCAACTATGCATTGGCAGCGTTGGAAACATTTCTTATTTTCTTTTTTCTTTTATTTCATACGTTTGGTTTGTCCCTTTTTCACTTTCCTAGTTGCTTCATTTTGTTCTTTTTATTTATTTTTTTTTTTAGTTGCTTCCGTAGTGCACAAATCACGCAGTTCTATCAAAATCACATGTAACGCCCACAACCACGCCCATATTCACCTGCGGGCATTGGGAATGCAAATTTAGTGTAAAAAGTTGAACTGCCAACGCGTTTCGCTTTCGCTCTGTCTTTCACCTCCTGCTGATATCTCTCTCTCTCTCCCTCTGCTCCATTTTTTGTGTGTTAGTTTATTTTTGTGGCATTCCAATTGATTTGCTGATTTGCGCATCAATCAAAGAAAATTTGTGCTCCAAGTTTGCTTTCATGTGGCGCCATTGTCTGGGGTTTCCTTTTTGGATCTGCCGTCATCGCATTGTTTATACATACATATTGATGGTATGTGAGCAACGGAGATGCGCGGATTACCAACTGACTTGACGTGCCTTTTCTATGGCTTACCTTTAATTTTCCTGTTCACTGCTGCATTTTCCTTGTTGTTGTAGGAATATTCAAAGCGCTGTCAACTGTTGCCAAAAGAGAAACCAATGACAGTTAATTGCCTAGCAATTACAATTTTGAATTGTACATGGCCTAAGCCGATTTCCGAATAGTTAAATATCGTTAATATATATAAAGTAAAAATGAGGTTAGCTTCCTTTGAAATGACTTATTTCTTGTGAAACTAATTTCAGCAATGTTATTGAATTATACGTATGTATGGAAACTTCACCTAGTTAAGTATTCCTTTTAGCGAATTTCGATTCGTCTACGGGCTGAATTCCTGAGCGCATAAGCCACCAATTCCATTGGCCTAACCCCAACAATGGCAGCCAATAATGATTTGTAATCTGTGCCAGTTACGAGGTACATAGGACACAGGACACTGCGGATCGAGGCGAGGACATTGGACATGGTTGACTGGCTGGCTGGCTGGCTGGCTGGCATAGTCTGGCATGGTATGGTATGGATGGCATGGTCTGGTATGCTGCCACCCACAAAGCTAGGCACAAAATTCAATTTCGCCAAGAAGCAGCGCATTGGCATGCAGGTCGCCAACGTCATCATCGTCGACATCATTGTCAGCTCTTTGGCAGTTTGCCATCAAATTGGCGGATTGGCGGCTTTAAAGTGCGTGCCATGCCATGTTCTATGCCAGCCAGCCAGCGGGGCCAACTCAAGGGTTAAGTGTGTAAATGTAAGCCAGTTCAGTTGAGCGCCATTTTGGCCTTATCGCAATTTACCAAGCGCTTCCTTTAACACACTTAAATAGTCGTGCGGCCCACTCGCCGAACAGTCGAGGGATACTTTTTAAAGCAAAAAGGTAACTCAGCCCCCCAGGGCGCTGCGTTGGCGTCTCTCACGTGTCATTATCTTAATTTAAGTCAGCCAAGAACCCAGAGCCCAGAGCCCAGAGCCCAGAACCCAAACCCAAGCCCACACCCAACTCTCTTGCCAGTTAGTGCACCTCACAGCGATAGAAGCTTCTTTTAACTCCCATATCTCTTACTTGAATACACAATTATGTGGCTGTGGCGGCTGCGTGTGTGTGGGTGTACGTACTTACATATATAAGGTGTATGGGTAAAAATTAAATTTCTCATGCTAAGAGACAGCGATATCGTTGCTCATCATTATACAGTCAGGCACGGTCCGTGGCTTGTTACTATGCATGGCTATATCACGACTTCAGATTCATCTCGTGTATACCTAAGGCGGCAGGGTATGTGCACTATGTGCAGGCGTTTGTCTGAAATAATATTAAATAATGAATATACGTTAGTTATAGATTTATTTTTTATTTTTATATTTAATTATTAAAATATGTATTTCCTCGCTTCTTCATATCACCTGATATTGGAGTGTATAGAGAGTATTCCGGGAGCGGTTTCACCCAACTAAATTAACATACTTGTTTTTACTCTGTTATTAGACTCGTGGGAGTTCTCGCATGCAATTTGCAATCTTTCCAAGAACGTGTGCTATGACAGTTTTTGTATATAAGTATATTTATCAAATGCAAACATAAATACATGTCTGTGTGTCTGCTGTGTACATGTGTGTGGGTGCTGTAATGAGGCCTGCGGTGTCGACTGTGTGCGAAGAATATCAACATTTTATTGCACATGAATTTCAGATTTCCAGCTCGCACAGTTTACACATGAAATCAACAAAGTGTGACAGTTGATGTGACCAATACACTCACACACACACACA